TTTCTGTTCTTTATCTACACTTCTTGTGCAAACTTTTTCTTTTACAGGTGTTGATATTATGAACTGATGAAGCTTTGAGAAGGAGCAAAAGACCTTATACTGAAGCCAAGTTCTGATAATATGTTTGAAATCATACTTGGAAGTTTTAAAATGTTTGAAAACAACAGTTTCTACATAACTGAAATACAATTGCCTTTTCGATAATGCTCTGTGATATTGGTGATTGTATTGGCATAAATGAAGATCAATAATGAAAATTAATCCATTGTTCTGATGGAAGTTAATGATCGAGTTCTGAAAGGGATATTCACAGATGGGCATAATCAATGATGCATCTGCAAGATGGTACATCACTGTTACGTACATACTCACAGAGTTCATTTTGGTTCTTAAATATTTTGGAACATATTAACTTCAAAACTGCCTACTGTTAGAGACAGCATTTTCCTGTGGGCTGACTGTTGTCAATGGGAGATCAGTAAATAAAGATCCCCAATACCGCATTGCAGATGTTCTGTTGCAACACACTACTGCCTCCCCATGACCCTCCTTCTATTTGTTGTTTGTCACAATGAACAGACTTCAACCAAAATTGTAAGGGATAGTTCAGAAATAAGATACTGACCTGTAGGTGTAGAAATTCATCTTTGGCAGTGGTGCAAAACAGGCAGGTACCACAGTCTTCAAACCCTAGCTTATGTTCAGTTCTATTCAAAACAATGGGACTGACTTTGAAGCTCAGCTTCTAACAGATGAATTATGTGATATTGCCTGTTTAGTCCTACAACCAAGACAAATTTATACTCCTTTGGGTCAGTGCTTCTGTGATGGTTTGGAGCAGAGGTTATGGGTCAGTGGCTATCCGTGATGGTACAGGGGTAACTCTATGGGTCAGTTCCTAGCAACGTTGGTACAAGGAAGAACATTGTTAGTATTTTATTTTCTGCTCTTAAATTTTGTTTAAATACGGCTGAAACTGATGGATATATTTTTCCCCTTCTCTACTGGTTATAAGTGTCATAAGTGAAATGAATTTAGGAATCTCATTCCATTCCCAATAAATCAAATCAATTGCACAAAGCCTATCTATAAGTCAGAACATCATCCCATATTTCACCTTTACTGTAGCTGATCCAAAAGGACCAATACTCACACTAAGTGCTAAAATCCAACATTCAGTTGAAAATTTAAACTAAAAGTTGCTCCTAAGAAACAACACAGCAAGGCATTCGAGATCCTGAGCACAAAGTACTGGAGGAATTAAAAGAAAAACCTGTAGCTCAACCGCTAAAAAGTTCGTCTAACTGAAAACTATCTGGATATCAATCATGCTGTGAAGTGTTGAACTTAATCAAATTACCAGTAATTATTTAATTAATTTACAGAGAACTGCCATTAACAGTCAAAGTGTCATGCAGCTTTTCAAAATAATTCTGTTCTCCTTCATGCTGTGTGTCTGTTTTCTTCCCTACATTTATCTACTTTTTAATTTATTTTCCCCCTTACCCTTATAACCTTTATTCCTTCCCTCTTGAAGGTGTTAAATTAGGCTAGAATAGTCACATGGGCAGGAGTCTGATTAAAACAACAAGGTGCAGGGCTGGATGAACACAGCAGGCCAAGCAGCATCATAGGAGCAGAAAGGCTGACGTTTCGGGCCTAGACCCTTCATCAGAAAAGCCTTTTCTGATGAAGG